GCTCTTCCAGCTCAAATTTGATCGATATGTGTACATTTGTCATTTACATTTGCCAGGTACATTTACTGTGACTATGAAAAAGGTCCAATGGGCATGCAGACTCACCTGGGATCCTTCTGAATGCTGTCAATGGAGGGCGAGCGGGCCAGGTTGCCCTCGGGTGGCAGGGCAGGGCTGGACTTGCTGTAGGGAGACTCCACTGATGAGCAGTACGGCAACGTGCGGTAAGTATCTGTGTAATTGGCGCCCTGACCGGACGAGTAGCCACCTCTGGGAAACGTCCCTGTGGCATTCTGACTTCCTGTTCGCTGCAAGGGTACGGAGTCAACACCAGGGGAGGATGGGGCTATGGCAGGAGAGTAGGGACAAAACAAGAAGTTCAGGACCTGCTCACAGAACTGGTTCACTAGGTCTAGGTACAGGAACAATGAGAGGACAGTGAGAAGACAAGCAGACAAAACGTGATACAATGACAGAATGACAAAGAGGGAGCAGAAAGGAGAGGAAGAGACAACAGCAGTGAGAACGACAGCAATAAAAAGCTCTTAACAGGTACATAATAGAGACAAAGTGAGTGTTACTAGTCAAAATCTTTCTTATCACATTTATAGACACATTTAATGTTAAAATGTGGAAACAGAAGCCCATGTGGCAGACTAAAAAAGATGTACTATATGAGTCTGATAGCAAAAAAAAAAAAAAACTGCTGTTGCAAAAGTTTGGGGCCAGGAAGATTTTGAAAATTAAATAATTATATATTTTTTAAAATTATTAAATGATAAATTATGACTTTTATTCAGACATGCATTAAAAAAAAAAACATTATAAAACATTTATAATGTGACAACAAGTTTCTGTTTTAAATAAATGCTGTTCTTTTGAAATTTCTATTAATCAAAGAATCCTGAAAATATTAAGGAGCATAAACATTTTTAACAAACTAATTTCTTATAATAATAAAAAAAATCTTTCTTGTGCACCAAAACAGCATATTAGAATGATTTCTGAAGGATCATGTGACACTGAATATTGGAGTAATGACTGCTGAAAATTCAGCTTGGCCATCACTGGAATAAATTTTAAAACATGTTAGAAAACAGTTATTTTAAATTCTAAAAATATTTCACAGTATTCTGTTTTAAATTATTTTAATTCTAAAAAAATAAAAAATAAATTAATTAATTAAAAAAGCAATCTTTGGTGAGCATACGAGACTTCTTTAGAAAAACATTAAAAAAATCTTACTGGCCCCAATATTTTAATCTAAAATGAAACTAAAAATGAAAAAAATAAAAATGAAAAAACCTCACTATATGACAAGCTGATTGCAGGATGATTAGCTAATTAGCAGTCCCTTGTGACCCATATGCTGAAACTTGCAGTACAAATTCAATAAACTGCATGATTAGTCTCTATAGTGCTCTAAAATGGTCCAAAATTCGTAATTAAATAATTCATCTTGATGCCTGATGACTCACCGACTGACCGAGCTTACGTAAGCGCTAATTTTAGTTGTGACCGTTTCAAAAAATTGTGTGAAAAGGGAAAATTCATGTCTATGGCATGGTGGCATCAGATGAAGGTGACATCACAGGTCATGTGATTCCCTCATTATCTTTATACAGGTGCAGCTGTAAGAGGCAGATCAGTTTAACTGCACATTTGTTTGGTTTTTAACATATTGAGGTTACAGAGTGTATCCATTTCACTCAATATGAGGGTAATGTGGCAGCCACTGTCTGCTAGACAGTCACAGTGGAGTGTCTCATAAATCTGCAGCGCAAGACGATCAATGGCAGTGTTCGGAGACTTTACCACAACACTGCCAGTGAAGCCGTAAAACAGGACTATTAGTCACCAAACACAAAGTGCACCCAGGGAAAAAAAGGCTCAATGTATCTTCAGAGACCATCCATGACTCTTCAGCTTCCTTTAGAGAAAATGTTGCACTCGCTCAGTGGAGGCTAACGATAATTAGACAGAGTTTGAGATGAATGAAGACTGGTTGCAAAAAAAAAAAAAAAAAGAGGGAGAGAGCTAGAAACAGGAACAAACAAATGTATGACAAAAGAATGAATGAATGAACGAACAAACAAACATAAGTAATTAAATAAATAAGCAAATAAATAAATACATAAATAGTTACAACCAATAATTGGCAATAATGGCTGTAAATTATACATCTATTATGTAACTCAGATGCACTTTTTATTAGCTTTTTTGATCTCTATATTGCTTTTATTAATTGTTATTTCAGGTTTAGTTTTAATTTAAAATGCTGTAATACAGTCACTTGTTTTTATTTTCCATCTAGTTTTCAACTGATTCCAAAACTAACTAACTAAATAATAATAATAACTTATTTTATTTCACCTAGTTGTCATTTTTTAGTTCAATTAAAATAACTAAAATTATATATATATATATATATATATATATACACACTCTCTCTCTCTCTCTCTATATATATATATGTACTGCCACTGCTAAACTGCATATGATATTAAATAGTGAGCTAGATCTAATTAGCAACAACACTGTTTAATATAACACACACAAAGTTACATTTGTGTGGCATATATTTATTTATTTATTTTATTTCCATTCAAAAAGAAGCATAAATGTGGTTCTCTGAAAAAGTAGATCACTTTAACTTTTCTTTTTTAAAAAAAACATAATGAGGTGGCCGAGTATCCATTTGGCTCAATCTAAGAGTGTGGGTGTTTGGCTTTGGGTTTACTCAAACTCATTACTCGAATGTGAAGATTTCAAATAACTCAAGGTCTCTATCTGGTTTAGCACTGAAGGCCCTTGGGGCTTGATTTACAGCTCCAACTGCATGCAAACACCTTTAGCAGGTGAAAATCTATCTGTATGTCATTAATTACCTTGCAAAAAAGGGCTAGTTAAATTTCAGTCTTTAACTAAAAGCAGAGTAACCGGCATTGACTGTTTTGAATTTCACTCGATCTTGAGAAATCATATAGTAAGGTCATTGATTCAGTTAATGAATGAAAGATGATATATTATCAAATACTGCTGCAATTCTGATCTTTTTGACACACTTTTCCAAACAGTAAGTATTCCGCTTATCACTGTATGTGTAAGAGCTGCTGCTCCAGGCCTCTGCGAAGACTTTATCATTATGAAGTGTTGCCCCTCTGCCACAGCAGTGAAGCCTCGGGAGAATGGCCTTTCAGTGACCTTCAGATTCCATTAGCTTATCTTATCAGAAATGGTGCATCTTATACGACCCCACACATCACTACACGGACAAGGGCTTTCCTCGGCACAGCGTGAGATAAAACACACATCAATTAAATTTATATATTTCCTTTTCTACTGTATTTTGATCAAATAAATAGCCTTGCTGAACATAGAAGATTTCGGTAACACTTTACAATAAGGTTCCATTAGTTAATGTTAGTAAATGTGTTAACTAACATGAACAAACAATGAACAATACATTTATTACAGTATTTATTCATCTTTGTTTACGACCCCACACATCACTACACGGACAAGGGCTTTCCTCGGCACAGCGTGAGATAAAACACACAAACGGACAAGGATGCACACAAACACACAAACTGACACAAGGTGGATAAGATCTTGCATAAAATCTCGACAACCGACCCCACTCTGACAGTTTCTCTTACTCATTTTGTACAGCGGCTGTTAACGAGGGCAACTAGCCAATAATGTGCTTCAGTGAATACTGCTATTTCCTGACAACAGCATTTGACTGTAATTCTTTAATTAACTCGCATACTAAGCCTTTTTGCTCTTCTGCTTCCTTTGACACCATATACAGTATTTTCTTAAGCCAGTTTGAACGACACTTGTGAATAATAGCCAACTTTCTTCTGCTAAATCTGCACCTTCTCTCTCAACTGTATAAAGCAACATGACAACCAATATTTTTTTTCTGCTCAAAATCATAATACCTTATTGTACAAAGGTTTGGGATCAGCATGATATATCCAGTATATATATATATATATATATATATATATATATATATATATATATATAATTAAAATATATAAAAAAACAATACTTCTATTCAGAAAGTAATCAATTAAATTTATATATTTCCTTTTCTACTGTATTTTGATCAAATAAATAGCCTTGCTGAACATAGAAGATTTCGGTAACACTTTACAATAAGGTTCCATTAGTTAATGTTAGTAAATGTGTTAACTAACATGAACAAACAATGAACAATACATTTATTACAGTATTTATTCATCTTTGTTAATGTTAGTTAATGTGAATACAGTCGTTCATTGTTAGTTCATGTTAATTCACAGTGCATTAACTAATGTTAACAAGCACAACTTTTGATTATAATAATGCATTAGTAAATGTTGAAATTAACATGAACTAACATTAATGAATGCTGTAATAGTATCGTTCATTCTTAGTTCATGTTAATGTTAACTAATGGATCTTATTGTAAAGTGTTACCAAGATTTCTTTCAAAAACTTAAACTAAAAAACGGTAATCTAACCAAAAACAGTAAGTGAATTTTTGAATGATAGTTTATGATGTTGTTTGTCTCTATTTTTATTTAAATATAAAATATTCATGTTTTTTTTATCCACACAGAGTCAAAATTGATAATCTCAGCTGTCATTTTCACCTTGAATAGAATAGTTTCCTGATTCTAATTTACCCTGAGGAACTTTTTAAATTTTTTAATAAATAAAAATAGCTTATGTACCTCAGTGGATGTGTATCAAAAGCTGGATGTACTTGTTTGCATTTTGTGGTTTCACAAGAACGGATAGCGGGCCGCTGCAGCTGTGGTACAATGATAGATCGAAGTGCGTGTCTGTGTACATAAGAGAAGATTAAAACTGCTGCTTTCCACCTCTGATAACAGCCACAAACCCTTAGCTTAAACATTAAAAATAACATTTCCAGTGCCAGATCACTACTCATTATAATGAGTAGTGAGCCGGCACTGGAACATGTTATTTTTAACACCGTGAACGGGATGGATAAATGACATTCATAAAATAATGTTTTTTGAAATTATATCTATAAAACTGTTTTTAATGAGAAACAGCATCTTCAAATGCAATGAATATGGTGAGAGATGCTTAAAAAAAGACTGAATGAAAGAACATATATTTTAGCTTTTGTTGAGGTGGCAATTTAAAGGGGATAAATTTAGAGAGGATTTAGAGTGTATTTTACCCTGCTAACAAGCTACTGTAATTATGACCCCAGCTAACAGGGAACAATTTCAGAACATTCTGGCAAGGTTTTCTCAAAGTAATGAACAAACATTCTTCCAGTATTGTTAATAGAACGTTTGTTTAAACTTATATGGTCTTTAATAATGTTCTTAAACTGTTAGCACAAAAACCTTGTTCATGGAATGTTTTGTCAGAAATTTTTTA